AGCACAGTATCAAATTTTACTCCCTGGTGCTGCCCTGCCTACAGCTGAAAACGAAAGCTCCAAGTCTGGAGATTGCTGTGCAGTATGCACAAAAGCCTATTGTGAAAAGTGGAAGGAGTGACCAGGCAAGAGTGTGGGAAAGAGTTGTAGGTGTGGGCACCCTCCCCTGCAACCCAATGAGAAGGTCTGCATTCCAGAGGCAAGTTTTTAGCATGCCAGAGATCAAAGTAGCATCAGAAAAACTGTATTCCTGTTCAAGTAGATCTAACACTTCAGTGTTCAAAACAGCTTACAAAACTTTCGCTCCAGATGCCCAGTTGCACATGCAGCACAAGGCACGAATTCACGTCCGCAGTATGTTGCAGCTATGGGACCAGCGGGCCGTTAGTGTTGCCGCCGGCTAGCTGATGAACTTCAAAAGAAATTGATATAGCACCGGGAATAAAATAAGGATAGTTCTGAGGATATTTGAGTGCCTAGACCAGCCCGAAATCTGAAGGGTCTTGCTTGGCCACTAAGCCGCTCGTGGAGGTATTATGATGATATTTGACCGGCTTGTCAACGGCCAAAAATTGGAGCCATGTTGATAGCCAATCAAATATTGAGGGACCAGTTGCACAACGCACTTGATGTTCGCAGAGCGCCCAACGGCATTCAGGGTCGTCTAGATGCTCAAATATTCTTAGGATTATTGGTATTTTACTGAGCGCAATATCTCATTTTCTTTTGAGATCAGCCGGCTAGCCGGCAGTAACACTACCCGGGGCCGGCCAGTGGCGGGTAATGCCGGTGAGAAAAAGTATTTTGTCTTGATTGTCATTGGCTGTCCTTAGTCCAAAGGAGGATTTCGCCCCGAAAGGACTAGGGACCGGCGATCATTCATCATTCCAGCCGAGAACTAAGGACTGACACCTCGTTCAAGACCATACACGGCGTTTGAAGCACGGATTTGGCATCTAAATATTTGCGGGTGAGTCTCAGATAGTCTCACTCTTTTCTCTCTTTTTCTCTCTTTTTTCTCTCTTTTTCCTTCTTTTTTTTCCCGTCTCTCCACAGACATGGGACATGGGCCCTTTTAAGACTCATGTCATCTCCTCGGGGACTTCGGATGTCTTATCCAATCATATGAATATGTCCTTGACCAGAGTCTGGCGGGATTACTGACAGATCAGACATCCAAACCGGTCACATTTTTCTGACCTCTCTGACTTTTTTTGTCTGACCTTGACAACACTGGATAAACCTACGCACCCCCTCATTGCTTGATGTAGCCAATTAAATGCTGGAATCTTTGTTCGATCAACCATCACGCCTTTGCTCTGACCGATGTTCTGGTGTTCATATTTTTAGAATTTCCTTGTGCGTAAAAATTGTGAGTTAAAATCTGAACTGAGCCTGTTTACCATATGTGTACAGATTATAGTACAATTCACTCTCCAAACCAGTCCTATAAATGGGGTGCGAATAAGTATCGATTTGATAGAAGGTAGTGTTCAACCAGTGGAAGGCAGATATTTATATTCCTTTCTCGGACAGCTGACTACCGTGGGTGTTCATGGGTGGAACCAAAAGCGACGACTCAGCGGTTCGGAAGTACACTCTGCCCAAATTTCCTCCTCGAAGGCTGCGAGAAACTAGACAACGAGTATCTTAGTTAGAATTTGATTCAAGGACCCTGGCTAAGCGAACACCGCGTGTCGTATAAATAAAAGGAACTATTTCGGAACACAATCATTTGATGAATGCGTGCGCTGGACTTCGTGATCCAAATCCAAAAAAAGCCTCAAAGATCTGCGCGTGTCAGCAGAGTCACTGTAGTTTAAAATTACTCCATTGAACCTCCTACAGAACCTTGTCGGTGGGTGTTTGCGACGAGAACAATGGTAGTGATATCTCGAGAGGTGTGATCAGAAGTGCGACAAGTAATAAGGAACGCACACATATATTGCAAAACCACTACAGTGATGAATTCGGTTAATGGCCGCGGATTCGAGCAAGTAGTGTTGGACAATAGGGTGAATATCGTTTGCTACGTTCAGTTGAGTATCCCAATCACCGACTCACGTGTGGAAAATTAATTGACCTGCTGCAGCTAGATCACAGTGTTGTGAACTAGATGCGGCCGCGATTCGTAGAAGTCCCAGTCACGGGCCCATGTTGATGGTGGCGAGCGCAGTTTCTACTTTTATAAAATAAGAAACAAGCCAAGGATGAGCGCGCAAGTCCAGGCTTGAATTGCTGGCTGGATTAGCCAAGAAAAAATATATAGCTGACCGCAAGAAAATTGCAAGGATATATACCCAACTTTTATGCATTGATCGATGGCTATAGTCCTATGTCCGGCTGGACACCTATTTCCCCAAAAAAAGAAATGCTGTTAGAATGAAGAATGAAGAAAAACATTGATTTCGCGGTGGTATCCGATTTCAGAAGCATGTGCAGGACGGTTATTGGGGAGTAGTCATCAATGGGTGTCGGACGGACGGACGACGAAAAAGCAAATCATCATCAGCAGTCAGTCCATTGCCCATTTTGAATTTCATCCGCTTCCGACTGAGTCTCGGACTGACACCAAACCAACACCGCAATCTTAATTTTTTGAGGCCTGCAGTTCGTCGACTTGGATTGATGTGGCAGATGCAATTATGAAAGTTGTACCTCTGGCTAGATCAGCTGAGTTCCCAAGTGCGCACCCACATACAGTGGTGGCCAAAAAGAATGAGCGCGCCCGTTTGAGCTCATTCCGGGACCGAATGGCTTCAAATAAAATGCTGGCATGATATTTCATTGATTTCATGAATCCAGACACAATTCAAACCATACCATACCTCAGTCAGTGTCTCGCAATAAAATAATTAAGCGGTTTCTGAAAAATCGACTTTGTGGATTCATCAGGTATGCAAAAATGGTGAACATAGCATGAAAGTACTCACAAATGCGATCCTAGACATATGTTGGTTGACCTAGATTCATCGGGATTTGAACTGACACGAGGGGCTGCAAGTTGGCTATTTTGGACTTTTTTATCGGTAAATGCACTAAAAATGGCAAAAATGGCCAACTTGCATCGCATATTCTGAGCCCAAAATCCCATCAATCTGAATGAATAAAAATACTAATATGATCGCATTTGCGAGTACTTTCATGCTATGTTCACCATTTTTGCATACCTGATGAATCCACAAAGTCGATTTTTCAGAAACTGCTTAATTATTTTATTGCGAGACACTGACTGAGGTATGGTATGGTTTGAATTGTGTCTAGATTCATGAAATCAATGAAATATCATGCCAGCATTTTATTTGAAGCCATTCGGCCCCGGAATGAGCTCAAACGGGTGTGCTCATTCTTTTTGGCCACCACTGTACATTTCCCCGATCCATAAATGCAGCGCTCGTCCTCTGACAGCGGTAGGCTCTACTAGCTTATCTGGATCATCGGAAAAAAATACGCCGTCGAGGAGGAAAACACCCATGTAGATCTTTAGAATAATCCGGCGCGCGTTGAGTCAAATTCAAGTATGGGTTGACCCGACGACAAATTTCGAAAGTCGTCGACTCTACGCGGAGTTGTTCGAATGCGGGGCTTCCGCTTTCGATTGATGCCGCTTGAAGTCACCTGCACCTCTGGCCGAATCAGTAACTCCCCACCAAAATCTAATTTATCACATACCCGTTCCATCGGTGTCCTTATTCATGCAGCAGCGCTAGCCATGTTTATAGCAGGCTGTACACCTAAATTTACCAAAGAAAAGGCCGCCGTCGGAGTTGAAGAAAACCATCAGCGCAGCAACGACGCGTATAAATGCGGCCCAAGACTCGGAGTAAACACTGGACCGACGACGACGGAAAACTATGAACTACCACCGGGAGCATGAGTGGGATGCTTTGGATTGATGTCATACCTCCATTGCAGAAGGAGAAACCATGACGCGAGATTCCAGAAGTCCGCGAAGAATGAGCATGGCTGAATATAGAGTGAATGTATGCAAGAAAATCAAGGACCGCCGGCCGGTAGCATTGCATGTGACGCCATTGGAGGCGCGAGCGCGGGCAGCGTTTGAATATTATAGCACTAGCAGTTACCTGTGCTACACTACGGTAATAACTGAATCGGTGTGAGCTCTAACTTCTATGATTTATTTTCCTCCTTAGCAAATTGAAGACACTGCTCGTCGTCAACCTTCGGTTGACTCCTCGTGGCCTAATAGCTGGTAACATTTTATCTGCACCCTAGGAAGATTTTTATACAGTTGTCTGATTGCGGAGACAGGCGGCGCAAGCAGTCACCTTGTTGAAAGTGACTCAATCATACTTGTATGGTTTATTTACTACCTGCCGCTTCCTGGTTTCCCAATTTGCCTGGTTCAACCATTTTCCTGTAATACTGTATCCAGTGATAGATCTCCTAGAGCCTTTGATCCGATATGTAGAAAGTGCTAGGGGAGTTCGAAGGACAGTGAATTGAACATCTTGATGTTTAAAAATAGAACTTCAACAGTCGGGTGGAGAATTGAGCATCGCGGTGGAACCGTGGAGCAAGTGACATCACTTGGATCTCTGGGAGTCAATACAGTTATCGCAAGTCAAATGTTGTCTTGTCTCGGTGGGATATGGGGTGTTCGATTGTAATATAGATAATGCCTCCCAGCTGAAGGTCAGAAAGTAAGAACTTGAGAAAAAGATACAGGAGAGAGAGAAATGCCTCTAGTAGGATCCGAACCCATGTCTCCTCGAGAAAACATGTCATTAAGTTTAGCCTCATTCAACCAAGGTGATTAACCACCAATCTACAGAGGCTTCCTTGCACTGGGTACATCGTCAACAAGTACCCAAGAGTGCAGTGCTGGCATTCCAGTCTTTGTATTCTCAACTGTTGTTTATTGAAAATTGTGATGTGCCGGGATGATTTTGAGGGCTTTCGATTGCTTCAGAGTTGACGGTCAAGAAAACCAAAAAAAAGAATGAAGAAGGAACAAAAAGTTCCTCGAACACTTCGTATACCTCCGGTGGGATTCGAACCCACATCTCCTCAATAAGCGAAGTATACAAATACTATTTAAGTGAGGTGATCAACCGCTGATCTACAGAGACTTCCTGAAAGCCATACAAATTCAACCAAGTAAGGAAGTTAGATCACAGAGATGCAACACAGTGAATGCAGTACAACTCAGAAATTGTATTCTCAACTGTTCAATTGAAAATTGTGATGTGCCGGGATGATTTTAAAGGCTCTCAATTGCCTCAGAAATCAAAGGCAAAGAAAAACAGACACAAGAACAAAATGTTCTTCTAACACGTCATGCCTTTGGTGTGATTCGAACCCACATCTCCTCAGTAAGTACGAAATTCAAACTTTATTTAAGCAAGGTGATCAACCGCTAATCTGCGGAGGCTTCCTTGCACTTGGTACGCTGTAAACTAAGTAGCAACTTGTGTCCATAGCATCAGACTGGCAGACTAGAACTTTTTACTTGTATGTGGTCTCAACCTCAACTGCTCAACTGCTCAATTGGTTGACTTGAACTTTCGACTGTTGACAAAAACAGAGGAAGCAAAAAGCCCGAGCCCCCTTCATGCCTCCGATGGGATTTGAACCCACGTCTCCTCAATACACACTTCTCGCTTATTCATGGAAATGAGGTGATTAATCACTAATCTACGGAGGCTTCCTTATGTATGTGTTTCAACTCTACTATTTATTGATCGGTATAATCAAATCCAGAGGAAACCAGCAAAGCTCCGAGGTGTCGATGAACTTGTCCGCGTCTGGCAGCACAATGTGCTGAAATTCATCGCTTTGCATAACCTTCTCGCACCATTAATTAATAATCACTTGAAATCGCAACTGCAGACAATTTCTTACCTCCAGCATCTTAGAATAGCTCTCGGCTTCAAATATAACTATTCCATCTACGCCTGATCCTTGAAAAAATCCATGATCAAACATTTCTTGGTTGATATGTGCCTGCGCAGTACACCAATTCATTTAGTTCGAAAGTTGCAATTCAACTGACTGCTGATTGCATCCAGGCGTACCTGTTCGTACTTCAGCAGGTTTATCTGGGTGCTTCCAAAGGAATGAAAGAGCGGGCCGTGCACATTCGCCCAGTAGCGACTGAATTCTTCCTTGCTGAGGCCGGATTTGCGTTTCAGGAGGCCGACGATGCGTACACGGTCTGTGCGGATCGTGAAGGACATCTTCTGATTATAGGGGGGATTATACAGGCGGGTACTAACCGGGAGTCTTATATGCACCAATGGATGGGTGCTGCAGTTCGCGAGCCGATAGCGGCGAAGCGAAAAGTAGAAGTCAGCCGAGCAGATGACTGTAAATCGGTCGACGGTCGACATTGAAACTGGGCGGACCAGGAGCTAATACGACTGACTTGACGTATGTGACGATCGTTGGTAGAAGATTCAAGATTTCCGTCAAGTTGCGGTGATACAGTGATACTTCGAGGACGACTCAAAAAGCGCCGCGCTACTCATTATTAGGGCAGCCGATTGAATGGAAGTGAACCGAAGAGTAGAAGAGAAGACACCTGCAATCGGGCGACGGTCGCCCGCAATTGAGCTTGAAAGATCAAATTGCGGTGAGACTTCAAGGAGAAACTAAAATTTTCCAAAGACAGGCCCGAGGAACGATTCAGAGGATATCTAGACCACCAAGCACCAGGTTGAAATTGGACTAGAATAATATTTTGGAGTCGAGTTGGCACATACTAATAGGGGTTCGATCAAAATCGGCCCGGTACCGAACTTCAACTCATCACTGACACTTGCCACTCACCCGTCTCAGCCACACCCATGCTCGTACTACCCAGCTCCCCCTTGACCCTCGCTGACGACAGGTTTAGTCTCACGGACGCAGATGATGATGAGGCTGTCCCATTCTGGCCGATACTACAAGAAATTCTGCGCCCGACTGTGCAATCTACGTCCCAGCTCATCGAGGTACTCGACATAATCGCGGTGACCCTGAGAGGGAGGTCCGACTCGGACAATAGATCTCTGAGGCATTTCATGGACGATGAATGGGACGCGGAAGTATTCTTCCGACGCACCTGGCCGCGATGCGTCGAGATAGCTCTGGAGATGCCCGTGCTCTTCCCCGACGGACGTCTTCCGCCATTGACCGGCGCGAATCCAACCCAGACACACACACCCCGGCAAATACAATGTCTCGTCATCCATCAGTTCCTCTGCACATTGCCCAAACTCCCGTGGGCGCCACCCTTCGAGGAAGAAAACTTGCAGGATCTGCATATCTGGTGCTCCGGGAAGCAGCCGCATCCTAAAGCCGTTAATGCCTATCTCACGGCGCTCTTCACGTTCTTCGATCGCGCTGCATCTAACACCTCGGCTGCCCACCCCATCTCACTCACTCTGTACTCCGCTCTGAGCACCCCGCACACCGACGCGACGACGCTGTTCACACCGATACGCATCACCGCCCTCGATACACCTTCAGTTACCACGTCGCTCCTCGGGTTGCCCTCCGGCGCGTGCGTGATCTCCGCGAACTCGCATATCGGCTTCGGACGCACGGCCTCGCAGGAAGAGATGCAGGTCGGCTGCTCCCCGCAGTCCCTTCCTGCCAAGCTCGTCACTCCGCCACTGAAAGACGACGAGATCATGGTGCTCCGTGGGTGCGAGGCGTTAATCGAGATCAGCGGGTACGGGCGCGTGGCGGAGCTCGCGTCTACAGTGCCCGCCGGGCAACACGATTGGAGTAAAAGAACGATGTTGTTCATGGACGCGCTCGAGCTCGATTCGTACGACACCTCTGCATCTACGCCCGACTTTCTCCCAGGGAACGTCGATCGCGAGCTCACGAAGGCGTACACTGCTTTCGCGTCCTACGGTGATGCGGCACCGTACGAGACGGTTGTGACTGGGCACTGGGGCTGCCGCGCGTTTGGGGGAAACCGGGAGATCAAGAGCATCATTCAGTGGTGTGCCGCGAGTATGGCCCGGGTTGAATTGAATTTCGTCTGCGATAAGGTACGTACTTTCGTTATCCTTCTTGGTTTTATAATTTACACCGACGCAGGACGACCTTTTTACGTCTAGTTTCCAGAATTTCACCGGTCGTGCCCTGAGCAAACGGTGGACCGTGCATGCTGTGCTTGCGATTCTTCGGGGAATGGGACCTAGTTCCGAGGGTGCGCGGTCTGCGTTCGATCATGTACGCCGTATTTTAGATGAGGGATAAGGGAAAGTAAAAAGAATGCGATCTGCCACACTTATTCGGACACGGAGAGTCGAACCCCGAAGTGCCTTGTGACGAATACTTAAGCGTCGCGCAAAGGAAAGAGGCAGTGTACCGTACACTATGTCCGATTCCTTGTATTCCTACCAACTTGTATGGGTGCGTGATCTTTGAAGCGGGCGGGAAAGTAAAAAGAAGTGGCTCATCGTCCCAATTCGAACACGAGGAGTCGAACCCCAGACTACCTCAATTCCTCGATTCAGAGCCAAGAGTGAGGTGGTGTACCGTACACCATGTCTGATTCCCTGTAATCCTGGTAACTTGAATGGGAGAGTGATTTTCGGAGTGGATAGACTCACAAAAAGAATTGAAGTCGGAATGGTACCAGTTGGACACGGGGAAGATACTTCAGAGCATCAATAGGCAAGGATGCTTTGCAAGGGTCTGTAGTGTATGTAGATTACAATATTGTACGGTGTAATTACTATACTATTCTTTCATACAGGGAAGCAGCCGATGTAGCGAGAATAGTAGTTTTGAAGATGTGCGGCTTACATGAGAAAGCAGACCTGGAAAGCAAGAACAGGAGGAATAAATCAAGGGGGCGCATATAGTAAACGTATCAAGGGTACCCGTTTCGGGGTGATCCAACCTAGCAGTAAGTCGTCAACAACCTTTCGTTCAAAAAAAAAGCGGGGTAGAACTTACCTTCGACATGTACACTTGCCAATGCTCCTGTAAGCGCGGGTCCTCTGCAGCGATGCCCCGCAGAGCGCCGTCGGGCATGTAGTGCTCCGGCTGGGGCTGGCCCAGCTGCAGGTCGATCTGCCGCAGCTGGTCGAGATGCACCCGGTGCCGCTGCCGCGGATCCTGCTGCATCTCGAATCCCTGCGGCTGCGCCTGGACGATTAGCGGCTGCACGTACACGCCGTTCCGGTAGTACCCGCTTTGGATCTGCGTATTGATGTACCTGTCGAAGACGTTGAGCTCGTTGACCAGGCTGGGATGCACGCCCGCAAACGACGGGTTGTCTGTGAACGTCTGCCCGGGCGAGTCGCGTATCTGCTGCTCGTACTGCGCGTACACGCCGTTCGGGTAGTACCCGCTCTGGATCTGCGCATTGATGTGCCTGTCGAAGACGTTGAGCTCCTTGACCAGGCTGGGATGCATACCCGCAAACGACGGGTTGTCCGTGAACGTCTGCCCGGGCAAGTCGGACAGGGACCGCGTCGACATCGACGCAGGTGACGACGCGCTCGGCTGCGGCTGCTGCGTGGGCCGCGGCGTCTTGGCCTTGGTTGTCAGCGTATGCGTCTTCCCGCTGAAGATCGACAGCTCGTCGTTCGGCGCGTCGGGCCTCGACGGGTCGAAGATGTTGTTCGGGATGATCGCCGGCGTGCCGTTGTGCGCTTCCTCGAATATGTAGTTATGTTCCGACACAGTCCCGTAAGGAAACAACAGGTCCTGAGGTTCGTAGGTGAAGGGAGTTTCCCTTCCACTCGGTGGGAGCGAAATGTTTCTTAATTTCGGAGCTGGAGGTACATCATCTATGAGATAAGGTGTCAATATGAGGGACACAATGAGCATAAAGTAGGTGGAGCAACGGACCGGAGTGGGCGATGGAGTGGGTGGTGGGTGGTGGACGACATGTTTCGCGGTGGCGGGACCAGTCCTGTGAGCGGCTCAATAGTGAGGTGATGATCATGATGGCCTTAGACTACGAGACGCACGCTATGAAAGTGTTTAGATGAACAATACCACGCGTTCTGGCAACGGGCACACCACTGTAGGGTGGCGCGGCCACAGATGAGACAAAGGGCACTGCCAACGGCCGTGTTCAACCGTCGTGGCGAGTCGTGTATGCTGCCATCTTCACCGAAGTAAAAGCGAGAATCCTCTAGTGGGGGTGGTGTAAGTGGCGGCGAGTCTTCCCGTTCGCAGGATTGACAGATAAAGTCCTTCAAATCACCGACACAGTCACTGTGGCTCCAAAACTTGCAGGCCTGGCACTTGACCGTGGGTCGCGAGCCGGGATCTGTGAGAGCGAAATGAATGTACCATCGTATATCCAACTGAGGCATACGTACTTGGGTCACCACAGTCACAGCGAAAGACTTCGTGGACGCCGACAACTTCGTGGCAGACAGAGCAAATCTCCAGGGGACTAGGTGCGTCATGGGATACCACGGCGCTGTCACCCGTCTTGGTCGCAAGCGTAATCTCTTGCCGCACATAGCCCGCACAGCGGTGCGCACTTCGCCCATGCGACCACGCCAATTTATTAACCAACGATGATAACTTCATGTCGAGCTCCAGAGCAATTCGACTTGCAACGGTGGCTAAAGACTGCTGCCCGCGGTCTATCGTGCGCCAGACGTATTCTCGCCGGGGTGGGACAGAAGGCTCGTTTTCTGGGAGATTATGCGACGATGATGATTCGTGGGTTCCCAGTGC